ATCTTCCGTTTGTATGGTTGTAGCTTTTTAAGGGATTTAGTGAAGTCCATGTACACGACGTCTGTTGTAAGTCCCCTATCTGACTAGCTGGATAATTTAACACCAAAAATGAGAGCTTTCAACCATCTCATGTAGCGTTAAAAATTCCTTGACTACTCCGATTTGTGGTTTAACCCTTGAATTAAAACTCAATTCTGAGATTCTTCATCGTGGTGTTTTAATAATAAACCATGTTAAAAAAAATGGACAATTCAATACGTAACTACAACAGCTAGGGTGGGGGCTGGAACGTATATTCATGTTGCTGGTGTTTCAGGAAGTGAAGACTTAACAAGTTATAAAACAAAGTGTAATATACAACTTTGCTGCAGAAAGAAAAAACAATGAAGGCCTGAAAACGGAAATAACTGAATCCTGCAGGATCGCCCAGAGTTGTCTGCTCATGTTACTTGAATTAGGAGGCAAGACAATGCGTGGCAGACTTGCATCAATATTTTCGAAAGCACCATCTAAGCGAGGAGACAAATGTGGCCGTCGATGAGCCGACTTTAAAGCCAAACACCGGGAACCCTCAACTGCTGGACACATTATTGTCCATAAAGATTGCTTTGAGAGAAAATTGTTTAATATAAAATAACTTTAGTCTTCATTATCAATTTTTATCATCTAGACATCTGTACAATAAATGCGTATCTCGTACAATATTCCTTACCACTGTGGAAAATAAGTTTGTTTATCGTAAAGGATTTTTTATATGTAGGTTATATATATATGGCGTTCAATATTTTAAATTTTTATTTCTCGGCAGTTAGCATCAGTACCTTACATGATTAAGCAACATATTGTGTTTGAATAAAAAGCCCCCTTCAAAAAATGCTCATGAGTGCCAGGAATGAGAGCAAGTTGTCTTGATGATGAGAACACGTGGCCATCATCTTGCGTAATGAGGCGTCAGAAGGGACCCCGCCCAGTGACTGTCATCTGGTCAAGGTCTTAGTCGTCGTGCAAACGCGTAATGATCATTATTGTAGTCCTTTCCGTCTTGCTGTGTGTTTGGTCGTGCCTCGTAGGCTGTTGGCGCATGCTCTTCTTACCCAGAGGTCAGGTGATAGTTTGGTTAGAAGGACATTATTGAAGTTATTAGCGCCACACAATAGCCCACTGACAAACCAGGCCGCATGCGATATCCTTGAACATAATCTATTACTAAACTAACTCTCAGAGTATATACCATGAGAAATGGAGCTCACCTCAGATGCCAGCGACACGTTCAATCACTTTTCTGGCCAATGAAAAGAGCTACCAAAATAAACTGATCTTGCGACTAATGTTTCAGATCTAGCAAGTAACGACCCCATTGAACTTCATCGGCATTACAGACGTTGTTATTTGTTGTTTTAAGAGCTGCTAAAGTACAAGGCCACAGGAGCCCATCCCGTATCTTCAAAAATCAACCTTGGACCGTCTCCTGCAGCCTCATGTTGTAGGATCTGAATGCGATAATGACGTAATTTTTCTTCCCCGTTATATGCTCCCAAGTATCGTGCTTTCCGAGGCCCGTCCTAACCACCCTGCCCCAGGCTATGCTCCTCCAAGTGGCGGTAACCCTGGGGTTACCGCCGCTTGGAGGATTGCATGGTAACCCCAAATGGGGTTATATGGTAACCCCAAATGGGGTTACCAGAAAATTTTAGACAATTTTAATTAATTGTTTATTCATATCTAGCTGTACCCGGCCACGCGTTGCTGTGGCTCAGCCAGGCATGTCCGTTGCTAAGCCAAAGCAACCTTCCCTGGTCTCCCAATCCTCCTCACCATTCCTCCCCCCCCCTTTCCCCGTCCCTTCATCCTCCAATCCATTCCTTACTCCCCCTTCCCGTCGTCCTCCAAACCTTTCCCCACTCCCCTGTCCTCTCATCTTCCCCACCATTCCTCCCCTCCCACGTCCCTTTGTCCTCCCCACCATTCCCCATTCCAGCGCCCCTCGTCGACCTACCCATTCCCCACTCCACCGTCCCCTCGTCCTCTCTTCCATTCCCCCCTCCCCCGCCCCCTCGTCCTCCTCACCATTCCCTGACTCCCCTGTTCCCTTCTTTCCCCTCCATTCTCCATTCCCTGTCCCCTCGTCCTCGCCATCCCCAATTCCCCCGTCCCCTCGTCCTCCCCATTATTACCCCCCTCTCCAGTCCCCATCGCCCTTCCCACCCTTTTCCACTCACATCCCCTCGTCCTCCCCACCATTTCCAACTCCCTCGTCCAATGCATTCCCAAATGATCTGATGATCCCATCAGAAAATTAGGAACTTATATGATATGATGTTCCCATCACGGAAATATAAAAAAAAAAATTAAAAACAAAATAAAACAAAAAAATAAATGAATGAATGAACTGTATTGTAAACAACACAGCTCACAGCCCAACGCAATGTCTCACAAAATAATTAAATCAAAATGAAAATCAATCGAAATCTATAAAAATTCCATTTGTCACTGCAATCGGAAACATTGAAATGGAATCGAAACATATTTAATATAGCGTGTGTTTCTCTTACATGCAACAAATGTCGCTGTTTCTTAAAAAAGAAATGTTTTTACCTGTAACAAGTGTGGCATCTGTACAGTAGGAATATAAAAACATGCGCTTAGATGCCAACACAACTACATCGATATTGGTCACCTTCACCTCAGTAAACATAGTGCGAAGTTGGGTCAGCCTATACTCAAATTTTACTAGGAATTTGAAAAAAAAAAATTTCTATTTATAGGCGAGTTTCTAGTCAGTTTTTTTTATGTAAAAAATACAAATATGTCATATATAAGAATATATGAATATGCTATATTAATATTATATTGTTTTATTAATTTACGAATTCAATTTAAGTTTTAATGAAATGGGATAAGTATTGTGTGCGTTACTGTATTCTAGATCAGAGAATAAGAGAACACAAATATAGCACAAGGAACGCTCCGATTTATAGAATTTATAAAAAACTCATATGTGTTAGTTTTCTTATAAATCATGTGTATAAAACCTATGCTTGAAACAATACAGCGATATCAAGTCTGTTTTTTCTAAGCATTTGAGACTCCAATTCCTCGTGTGTCCATTTTGAAAAAAGAAAACACAGAATAATTGCAAACGTGGATCACAGTTGATCTCATTCTAAATATCATATTTTCAGGTTACTAATTGTAATAAATACTAGCCAGTGCATTTATTATTATTATTATTATTATTATTATTATTATTATTATTATTATTATTATTATTATTATTATTCTGTATTAGGATTTAACTTCTCATTTGCAGAAACCTCTTTGGGATTATACAAGAATTAGAAACAATTTATGTTTGGCAACAGTGTATACAATAAATAATATTATTCTTATTACTTGTCAAAATGCAAATACTTTAGAGCAGTAAAAACCTCATTCCAGGCAGGAAGGGTTTCGTAGCCTCCAGATAAGCTTCGTTCAAAAGAATGCAAATCTATACAACCTATCCTCGTTTTAGGATAAAAAGAACAAATTTCCTTCTCTGCAACATTTATTAAGCGAATGAATATCTCCAGATTATAGAGAATTTATCATTATGATCCCAGGTCATCTTGGAGTGCAGGCAGTGATGGGCTGCTCAGCCATAGTAAACCCCACGGCGCTCACAGATGATGGGCTTCTCGTGGTGGCAGGCGACGTCGTGCCATCTGATGCCGTCATTGTAGAAGTTGTTGAGCACTGCCAGACAGAACTCCTTCCCGCCCTCAGCGTTGTCTGGCTGGGGAAGCCCCTCGCTGAGGAAGAGTTAAGATAATATTATAACTAGTTATTTATTTTAAATATTTTAAATTTTATTGTTTACAACGTTTTTTTCATTTATTGAATGATCTCTTCAGTTTATATTAATAACGGTTAACAGTGCTGACTTTCACTTTACTTTTAAGTTTTTGATTCATTTACTGTTATATAAATTTAAAGTAGGACTTTGGCCAACTTGTCAACTGCATTTACCATTGTATAGGACCAGAAGGCAGGAAGCCCGCAAGGGCAAGACTTACCTGCCGGTGTAAGACCAGTTGATGCCGTAGAAGGGAGCACCGGAGCCCCAGAGGAAGCCATAACCGCTACGATAACCGCTCGTCCAGATGTACTTCACATTGTCTGTGGAAATACGTAGTTAACTATGATATTAATGTCACTGGATTGACAAGTCACATAAGTTCACATAATGATTGGAAAGATTCTTTATCGCGATAGAAACTTTACTGGATAAGCATATTTTGTTGTGCTATTGTGAAATGGTTGTATTCCTGTTAACACTGCGCAACCCAACCTTTGTAGATGATGTCTGAAATAATCTTGTCCTCTTCAGGAGTCTCGATGCTGACGCCCTGCCATCCCTTGCCCAGGCTGGAGCAGTAATAGTTGGCACTGTGCCCGTCATAGTTCTTGCCACCGTCGTGACGCCACGAGAAGTGATAGTCGCTGCCACCCACACTCAGGTCCACCTGGAAAACACATTTGGTCTACACGTTGGTGGAAACATGTTTAAATTTCATTCGACAAATATGTTTACTGACTTCTTAGTTTTATTTGTCGGAAATTTGAAATAGATATCGTTTATACATTAGCAAGATTCAAGCATAATCACTCATATTTGATAAAAATAGCTACTCACCTTTGCGTACCCAACACCACCATGAACAACACCGACACCATGAGCTGGTCCTCCGACAAGACCACCTCCTCCAAGATGTCCTCCTCCAAGAACTCCTCCTCCAAGTCTCCCAGCCAACGCACCAGTGCCATATCCATAGGGTCTATAATACCCTGCCGTCGCCACGGCAGCCACGGAGAGAATCAACACAGCCTTCATCTGCAACACAGTTGTGTACATTTATAGCCTTTATCTGGAACTGCATGATGTCTGGCCTTTAGTTAATGCCAGACTTAACATAAGACTGACCGTCACATCCCAGCACGTAGTTCTTAGCTTCATCTGCATCGTTATATTCGCTTTAGTCTACACTAAAGTTCCACACTAAAGAGTGTGGCAATTCTTTTCTGAACAGATCAACTCTCAACAAGAGAATAATACCACAGCATTCCTTAGAATGCACAAATTAAATCATATTAGCGTGATGCATCGATGAGAAAATCAGTAAGATCCATCAGGAGGATTCGAACCAGCACACTCCCAAGACCAAGACCAACCCAAGATCACTACACCACGAAATGCTCAAAAGCAATGCAACCTGGGATTCAGATGAATCCTCTTGGGGTCCTGAAGACCATGTCGTTTTATAGTGGTCTAGGGCGTGTGCTTGGCGAGTACCAAGTGTGCGTGTTCGAGTCTTCCTCATGGCTACTACTGATTTTCTCATTTTGTCTAATCACCCTAAAATTAAAACTTTGCCCCCTCTCTCCCCCCACCTAAAGAAATCTGTCATGCCCACTGGTGAGAAGGCCATCAAACCACTGAAAGAGAACTTTTACTCCTGCAGAAAAACACTTCCACATCCCCCAAGGGAAAACTGTTCCATCGCCCATAAAACACTATCACACACCGCCTGAAGAACACTGTGCCACCCGCCAGGTGAACTATACACCTACCGTGAGCAGCCAGGGAGTGTAGCCACCACCAGGTCTCGCCCCTTATATATCACGACGCCACTGTTTCTTCATGGTCACCGTCAACGCCTCAGGCTGTCGTGAGTAACATTTCCTGGTTGATAATTTTAATCAACGGTGGTTTGGATTTGTGCTTAAGCCCCATCAACGGCGGGAGGGTTGCTAAGTGTACAACTATAGGACAACTCTCAGTATATGTATACTGAGAAGCGAGTGCACGTTTCGGCATATATTTAGCAGTTTCCCATTTAGCAATTACTCACGCAGTCCCTTGTCTGGCCAATGTTGAGAGCGGGGCGTGGCCTTCCTCTCGAGACCAGATTTCCAAAGTAGCAGGTAACGGCGTCTTTAAATTTGACGAATATCATAGACTTTGTTATTGTTGATTTAAAGGTTATAACATCACAAGGTGTGAACAATTTCACTCATTATAGCCATATTATATAAGGAATAATAAATATTTACATACCATATTTATAATTTACATAATAATCATATCTCTACCGATGATTTAAAAATCATCAATATCTACATCAGGATTCTGCATGACCATTTGGTCGAGTACACCATTGGGCTCCGTGCCTATATAACATTGTTGTTGTTGATTTAGGGGCGACGACGATCGTGGGATCGGATACGCTCCAGCGTACCCGGTAAGGGTTATCTCGAAGCCCGGAAAGGTGAAACGCCAAGCCAAATCGCGAAACAAGTGACGCCAATCACTGGGAGCTAACATGCCATGTGGCAAAGAAATCGCAGACAGGCAGATGATTGGGGAGCCACAGGAGTCCCTCAGGATGACAAGCACCTGCCTCGCCCCACACAGAGAACACTGGGTAGCAAAACCAAAAACTCGAACCCCATCTAAAACGCAATAGTCATCCAGTGTCCCAAGCAGAACAGAAGCCGGCCGCCGCCAACCACGACTGAGGGCACACCAGGAGCCCACCAACCACCGGCACCTCTCGGCCAAGCCGGCGCCGGACACCGTCACCCCGCCGGGAGAACCAGCCAGAACACGTCAAAAAAAATCTATCAACAATCCCGTGACCCAAGGCGATATGTGCGCCAGGCGTCGTACAACCAGACCGTTGAATAGGGATGCCAAACGGAAGGAGCAAAGCCAAAACGCGAAAACAGAACGTGATTAGGCGGCTCCCAGGCAGAGGTGGTGTCCAGACGTCCGCTTGTCGTCAAGGTCGACCCAGGAGTCGCCTATATAACATTGTACAAGTGATTACAAGAATCTAGAAGCTTCCAGGAGGAACTGGTAATCAAAAAAATATTGTTGGAACCGAAACAATGGGTTCCGGTGACATTTTCCAAATCCTTATTGAAGGACAAATTGTACTACTAAGTACTGTCAATAATCGTTAAATCCATTAAGTGTTTAGCTTGCAACTAAACCTTATCACAATGATCAGTCAAGACATTGAAAATAATCATTTTATAACCATTGTCGGCACTCCACACTTTCACTGGGGAGGGGGACGACGCAGGTGGGGCAGAAAGCGTCGAGTACCTGATCAACCTTTGTTGACATGGAAAACAGTGCAGTGTTTGAGGACAGTTTCAGTGGACACTACTGCACAAGCTACTTGTTAAATTTCCAGTAATCATTCCCTAGATATTCGGGGAGTCCCTGACCTATAATCTAAGCTAAAATTCGTCCATAAGAACTCATTAAGAATAGTGAGAGTGAACTCATGTACCCAGAGACTTGCCACGTTTCCACCATCATTTAATCGTTATCACTGCTACAGGATCCATCCTACAGCAACCGCTACTAGGAACTTAATCAACATCATGCTGCCTTATCTTCACAAAAAATACTGAGCCTATCTCCTGAGAGGTCATACAGTATGACAACTTGCCAGATTAGGCTCCGGTTCTTAGCTGCAGGATAAGTTATTGTTTTAGAGCGTAGATTACCCAATTACATGCGAAGACAATAATATGTATCCATAGATAAATTGAGAGTCATTAAGACAGCGAGGCAACACCTCACCAATTAATGAGTTAATTTACCTTCTTCAGTAACTGAACCTCTTATTGATGATTATTAATATAAATCTGAATATCTATATCTTGTGTATACAATTCTTTAGTATAACTCATCATACATTTAATAGCCATATCCATTAATCTTAATTTATCAAATTAGTTTATTTTATTGCATACAATATTTTGTTTGAATATTACTTATGCATTATACTTGTATTATTCAACTACTGTGTTGCTCGTCCAAGCGATCCAAACCAAACGACGTATTCGTAAATTTTAATTATTGAATATTTAAAATCCATATTTTCTCATTTATATTTATTTGAATGTCGTATATAGTTAAGCCTAAATTATATTAGATTAAGTGTTAGGTCCTACTAGTAATAATTTATTTTGCAGCACATAGGTGAAGAATTTAGCAACCCATCATCACGTTATGTTTATGCCATCATGCGGCCGATCTTAAAGGCATATTAAAGATCTTAATATACATCAATTTAAACATGCTATTCATTCGAAATAGGAATTTTCTCGGTTACAAAGTTTTATGGTTATATACTAGAATATTTAGGTAGAGGTTAGGTTAGGTGTTCAGGTTTTGTTGGACATTGATATTTTTTTTCTTTATTTGTAAAACAATACATACAATATAAGGGTAGTAGTAGTAGGCATCCATCAGTCTCAGGAGACTATGGAGTTGTGCTCTGAGGATGGGTTGTACAAGCTTTTGGTACCGAGGCACCAAAAGACAACCGAGCATCAGCTCCACACCGCCCAAAACACCAGAAATAAAAAACGCAACATTAAACATACAGAATAAACTTTACTGAAAAATACAGAACAAGGAATACATAAACACAAGGTGCATAGAGCAAAGAACATAAGAGTGAAAAACAGAAAAAAAAATAAAATAGGAACTCGCATTAAGAAACCAGGCCACCCAGACGGGGCGTGCCAAGTATGGACATTAAACTATAAAATTGCACAAAAGAAAACAAGAAAACTATAGTAAAAAATCAAAATGCAAATACACAACATATGGAACATGCGGCACACCACAATGCAAACAAGTAACACATGACCTAAACACACAGGAACCGGGAACACCTAATGAAATGATACCCACACAAACAAACAAGAACACCGGAACGCACAGGAACCGGGAAACAATGCTACGACCTCACCCCCGAACACACATGAAAGTAGTAAGTAATTATTAAAGGAAAGCACCACACCGGGAAGGCTACGTAGCACCATCAAATGTGCGGAATAATGAGAGGGCGCTAAATATCACCAAGGATGCCAATACGAGAACAAACGCATAAGGCGAACGATATCAAAAGTATCCGATTCACAAAGAATTTTATCGAGGGACAAGCAACCGCGAGGGACGGTCGGAAAGCAAGACACTCATCCTGAAAGTCAGGTCATCCAACAAAGATATGCTTAACCGTAAAAGGGACAATGCAATTTGGACAATTAGGAGCAGGACTGTGCTTCATTAAGTGACCGTGAGTTAAGCGTGTATGGCCAATACGCAACCTCGCCAGAGAAACCAAATATAAAACAAAACCATAGCACAGTACAATAAACAAAACACAAGGCAAAAACGGGACGAGACAAAAGCATGGACACAAAACATACAAATAGCAGACAATGCAATAATTACAGGGAATACACAAGTCAAGCACAAGCATTATGCATATTTATCCGGGAACTCCTGCGCTGGAAAGCGCAAGCAGTAACCCTCCCAAATCAGCATGGCGTCATCGGGGACCTGTCGACCAGGAGACACACAAGGCTGAGACATTAGATCTTGCAACCCATAAATAAACCCCTTTGGCCGCGGCACCCAAATAGTAGAAGAGCACCACGGGATCGGACGCAAACTCATCCAAAGTGAGTTCTAACGACTGCGACTCACGGACCACTACCCCATAGGCCGTGACCACAGACGGGTTCTGCACAAGGAGGTTTACCACTAGGTCTCTTACTGGGTTCCACACACCGAGTTCTGCACTGGGGGGGGGGAGACCACAGGGGAGGCAGGCGCGCCAGGGCCCCCGCCACCGGGCACAGGTGGCGAGGCCCCCTGTGCACATCCTTCCTCAGTACCATGACGAGGTCCCGATCACTGGGGGCAACCTCCCATGGTGGGAAGCCAACAGCAGGTGGCACAGGGATCGACACAGGAGGGCCGCACAACACCCCCCCCCCCCCCACCACCACCACCACAGCACAAACCACAACGTCACACTCGGCAGCCCACTCACGAGGGGGTGACACTCCTATCCGTCCTAGAACGCTTTGACACAGCTAGGTCGCTGAGCATCCGAACTGTCGCCACAAGCAGGAGGCACTCGAGGAGAGCCCACGGTCGGCTGCACCACACAATGCAAAGCACGAGCCTGAAGCACAGCATCCTCATCAACAGGGGTACAAGCCCACACCCCACAGGCGACACAGGAACCAGAGACAGGGCAGGCAGAGGCGAGAGAGTCGGCAGAGGTAAAGGAGCCTGCGGAGATGAGGGAGCCGGCTGTGGGGGCGGTCCCTCACCCACCACCACCCTGACACCCACAACACCAACCGCACTCACAGGTACAACGGCCAAGGAACCTGGTAACACCATTGAGGCAGCAGACGACAGGGAAGCCTTTCCCCACCACACCACAAGGCGACACGTCCGTAGCCACCAACGGGGGAAAGTCCTCCCTAAACAGATTTACAGGAGCTGCCGCCACACCACAGCAGGCTGCCTCCTGGTGCCTCTCAAGGCCGGCCACACCGAAAACTTGTCCGGGGCTGTCCACCGTAGAAGGCGCGTGTGGTGTACCCCATCAACGTCACAGTCGACGGAACCGGAGACTTGAGAGACACGGCGATGGTCTGGTACCGCTCGAGACTCCCACCTACCGGAAGAGATAGCATTCATCCTGAGGGACACCATGGTCTTATATTTATCAAAGTAACTTCGAAGTAAAGCTTCATAGAACTCAAAAGGGACCACATGCAGCGCCACTTAAGTGAGGGAGCAGCAGCGATCGGAGATAAATACGGTACCACCGTCCGCAGTAAGGGAGAACGAACGACCATCATAATGGCCCACTACGTCCTAGTGGAGAGCTGAACTTGACGAGCGCCCAGTAGTTTGTAAGGAGCTGGACGCCACACACATCCACAACGTTGACACGGAACATATCCAACATCACCACCTCAATAGCCAGGTACGACGCCCTGTCAGAAAATTCCAGACCAATTGCCTCAGAACGGCGGAAAAGGGGGCTTAATGTCGCCAAACAAAACGACCGGAGCCCCCCCCCCTCCCTGATCTGGACACGCTGACAGCTGGGGCAAGACTGGGAGCAAGCCACTGCGCACACCCAGACCCTGTGCTGGTCAGCCAGCCGCTCATTAATCCAGAAACTAAGCCCCTGATAATGAATGAAACACACTTTACATTGGATTCCCAGCTGATTATGTTCGAGACTTTCTGGAACTATGTTTTGCGTGCATTCTTTGTTCGAATTTCACCAACTAAATGTTTCACCTACGTACTGCATATTCAAATAATTACCAAAAACACCAAAATACCTAACATTATCTGTCCAAAACTTAACTGTAGACAAAATTTTAATGTACAATTATGTTATCTACATTCATGAAAATGAAATTTGTTTTTCACATTGAGTTAAAAATGACGATTACACCTTTTGTGCGAGCACAGTCTGAGTATTGTTTGAAATAATTGGACCCAGAACTAAGTTACCTAAATTAGATCTAAATAAAAATATTGATGTATAACATTCTGATTAATATTTGAGGAAGTACTCTTTTGTATTACACAATGCGAGAAAACTGCACATGGAACAATGTGGACGGCTTGGAAGCCGGAGCTGGAGGAAGTGTTCAACTGGCCGACACCTCAGTCTCTCTCTCTCTCCCTTCCAGTATTTCCCTTTGCCTTCATTATATTCCATTTCTCTATTACAACAATTGATTTCTATATACAAGCGTTGGTGCATAGCTGGCTGTTCCCGGGTCTCTCTTCTCCTCCACCCCTCCCTCCCTCACAGTTCTCCCTAGCTTTCATCTTTTTTCCTTATCCCACTTCTCTTCCTTTCTCCTTCCTCTCCTCTCTTCTTTCCCTCCATCTCTCCAGTTCTCTCTTCTCTTAATCTCTCCACCAAAATTCATCATTCCCTTTACATACCTTTACTTTCCCTTCCCCTATCAAATTTATCCCCTCCGCCTCTCCACTCTCTCTCTCTCACACTCTCTCCCTTTTCCTTCCCTCTTCCCGCCTCTGTACTTGTCTCCCCCCTCTCTCCTTTCCTTTCTTCAAACATCTAATTCATCCTCTCTCTCTCTCTCTCTCTCTCTCTCTCTCTCTCTCTCTCTCTCTCTCTCTCTCTCTCTCTCTCTCTCTCTCTCTCTCTCTCTCTCTCTCTCTCTCTCTCTCTCTCTCTCTCTCTCTCTCTCTCTCTCTCTAACACTCTCTCTCTCTCTCTCTCTCCTCTCTCTCCCTCTCCTCTCTCTCTCTCTCTCTCTCTCTCTCTCTCTCTCTCTCTCTCCTCTCTCCCTCTCTCCCTCTCTCTCCCTCTCTCTCTCTCTCTCTCTCTCTCTCTCTCTCTCTCTCTCTCTCTCTCTCTCTCTCTCTCTCTCTCTCTCTCTCTCTCTCTCTCTCTCTCTCTCTCTCTCTCTCTCTCTCTCTCTCTCTCTCTCTCTCTCTCTCTCTCTCTCCTCTCTCCCTCTCTCTCTCTCTCTCTCTCTCTCTCTCTCTCTCTCTCTCTCTCTCTCTCTCTCTCTCTCTCTCTCTCTCTCTCTCTCTCTCTCTCTCTCTCTCTCTCTCTCTCTCTCTCTCTCTCTCTCTCTCAGCTATCCATCTTTCACAGAATATGAGGGGGTCAATGTTTTGCCGGACTCTCTCATAACAGGGCAAATAGAACTGACGCCGACAAGCCTATGTCCATCACGTACCCAAGACCATTCACCCTAGAAAGCTGGATGAGGCTAGCCCCAAGCGTCTGGCCTTCTACCTTGAACAAACAGATTTTCTCTCCCATAGATAATGAGAAGATTTGATCCCGGCGGTGCCCGGGCCTCTGACCTTCTTACTTTCTCTTCTCCCTTCTTCCATTCCCATTCTCCCATTCATTCTGTCTTTCTCCGTATTTCTCATATTCTCCTCCCTTTTTTCCGCTATTTCTCCGCCTAACCACCTGTGCTGGACGATAGAGCGACGGCCTCGCTTCATGCAGGTCGGCGTTCAATCCCCGACCGTCCAAGTGGTTGCGCACAATTCATCCCCCCCCCCCCGGGTCCCAGCCAAAATCCTTATCCTGACCCCTTCCAAGTGCTACATAGTCGTAATGGCTTAGCGTTTTCCCTTGATAAGTCCCTCTCTTCCCTCTCCAATTTTCCTTCTCATTCTCCTCCCTCCCTATCCCTGTTCCTCCTTTCTTTCCACCAGTGAGCAAAACATACTCGGGGTAATGTTGAACCAACCTTCAATCAACATTATCGACGTTGATTCAATGTCGATAACAGCCGATAAATAAGTTGGAAAACGCTGTATTGTCAATCAAACCCATATTTCAGAGTTCATAGCACTTATCGCTTGTCGGAAAAAGTTCAAATCCTACTTAAAGTCGGGGCATTGGAGTTGACCCCAACACCCCCTTTGACCCTCGCCATGCAATCACAATTCACCTTGGGACGTTGCTAGAGGAAAATTGCAATAATCTGACCTCTTTCATGTAGACATATGCTACTATGAAAGAATAAGTTCCATCAATTATTTGAGCACGAATTTGATCTGTATTTCAAATATGTTTAACTTCAAAAGGAAGTTGAAAAATTATATACATAAAACAGCCAAATTATTTTAGAGGAGTAAAAACCTAATTTAAGGCAGAAAGGATTGCGTAGCCTTCCAGATAAACCTGCGTACAAAACAATGCAAATCTATAAAACCTCTCCACATTTCAGAATAAAAAGAACAAATTTCCTTCTCTGCAACATTTATTAACCGAATGAATATCTCCAGATTATAGAGAATTTATCATTATGATCCCAGGTCATCTTGGAGTGCAGTCAGTGATGGGCTGCTCAGCCATAGTAAACCCCACGGCGCTCACAGATGATGGGCTTCTCGTGGTGGCAGGCGACATCGTGCCATCTGATGCCGTCATTGTAGAAGTTGTTGAGCACTGCCAGACAGAACTCCTTCCCGCCCTCAGCGTTGTCTGGCTGGGGAAGCCCCTCGCTGAGGAAGAGTTAACATAATATTATAACTAGTTATTTATTTTAAATATTTTAAATTTTATTGTTTACAACGTTTTTTTCATTTATTGGATGATCTTTTCAGTTTATATTAATAACGGTTAACAGTGCTGATTTTTACTTTACTTTATAAGTTTTTGATTCATTTACTGTTATATAAATTTAAAGTAGGACTTTGGCCAACTTGTCAACTGCATTTACCATTGCATAGGACCAGAAGGCAGGAAGCCCGCAAGGGCAAGACTTACCTGCCGGTGTAAGACCAGTTGATGCCGTAGAAGGGAGCACCGGAGCCCCAGAGGAAGCCATAACCGCTACGATAACCGCTCGTCCAGATGTACTTCACATTGTCTGCGGAAATACGTAGTTAACTATGATATTAATGTCACTGGATTGACAAGTCACATAAGTTCACATAATGATTGGAAAGGTTCTTTATCGCGATAGAAACTTTACTGGATAAGCATATTTTGTTGTGCTATTGTGAAATGGTTGTATTCCTGTTAACACTGCGCAACCCAACCTTTGTAGATGATGTCTGAGATAATCTTGTCCTCTTCAGGAGTCTCGATGCTGACGCCCTGCCATCCCTTGCCCAGGCTGGAGCAGTAATAGTTGGCACTGTGCCCGTCATAGTTCTTGCCACCATCGTGACGCCACGAGAAGTGATAGTCGCTGCCACCCACACTCAGGTCCACCTGGAAAACACATTTGGTCTACACGTTGGTGGAAACATGTTTTAATTTCATTCGACAAATATGTTTACTGACTTCTTAGTTTTATTTGTCGGAAATTTGAAATAGATATCGTTTATACATTAGCAAGATTCAAGCATAATCACTCAAATTTGATAAAAAAAGCAACTCACCTTTGCGTACCCAACACCACCATGAACAACACCGACACCATGAGCTGGTCCTCCGACTAGACCACCTCCTCCAAGATGTCCTCCTCCGAGAAGTCCTCCTCCAAGTCTCCCAGCCAACGCACCAGTGCCATATCCATAGGGTCTATAATACCCTGCCGTCGCCACGGCAGCCACGGAGAGAATCAAAACAGCCTTCATCTGCAACACAGTTGTGTACATTTATAGCCTTTATCTGGAACTGCATGAGGCTTGGCCTTTAGTTAATGCCAGACTTAACATGAGACAGACCGTCACATCCCCGCACGTAGTTCTTAGTTTCATCTACATCGTTGTTTTCGCCATGATGCCGGTTCTACATTAACCTCTGTGGCCGTATTTTCCTGAACTGATCAACTCCCAACATGTGGATAATACTACACTCCCCTTAGCAACTATGTCTACCCCTCATGAAAGATACCTTGATCCACCCCAGACAAGAAGACTGTGATACTCTTCGGAGAGAACAGTCACACCGCAAGAGAAACACTGTTACACCCCCAGAAGATCTTTGCCACATCCTCCAGAAGAACAGTAATGCATTCTTCAACCGAACAATGTCACATCCTTCTGGAGAACAAAATTACATCCCAAAGAAACACCATTACACCCTTTAGATGAACACTGCCACAGTTTCCAAGCGAACACTATTCCATCGCCCATAAAACACTATCACACACCGCCTGAAGAACACTGTCCCACCCGCTAGGTGAAGTATACACCTACCGTGAGCAGCCAGGGAGTGTAGCCACCACCAGGTCTCGCCCCTTATATATCGCGACGCCACTGTTTCTTCAGGGTCACCAACAACGCCTCAGGCTGTCGTGAGTAACATTTCCTGTTAATGTCAACTGGACTTTGTGACAGCGCTTTCGTTTTAAATGAAAACTGAAAAATTGGTGACAATAGCATTAGGAATAATTATATTCAACTGTGGTTTTCATTTTGGCTTAAGTCCTATCAACTGCAAAAAGGTTTATTAAGTCCAGGACTATAGAAAATCTCTCAGTGTATGTATACCAAGAAGTGAGTACACGTCTCGGTGCATTTTCCTATTCCCCATTACATAATGTGTGATGTTTAGCTTAAGGACCATCATCTGCACTAGGGTTGTAGAGGCCGTGACACTTGCTTTACAGCCAACTAGCAAACATAGTTTTTACCTAAACTAATGATGCATTTTTAATTCCAAAAAGATTTAAAAAAAACAAGTCTAAACCGATTTTAAGATGACGTGTACTTGACATTTATTGTTTTTATACTTGTCTCTGTATTTCTTCACAACTTTAATAGCACGTGTCACTCTTATAGTTTATGTTGTTAAAGCACTTGTAAAACAAAGACTGAACAGCTTGTAACCGTTTTTCTAAGCTTACTCACCACTTCCCATGATCTTGTTGTGCTCCAGCGCCCATTGTTTATACAAACGGTGCAACCCTTATTGCCACTTATTGACAGCCATAACAAAATCACCTGCTGTTTATTTAACATTTGATTTTTCTTATTTTTTTGTCTCATTGAGAATGCGAGGTTGAACATTACTATTGAACATTTTCTGCCACTCCCGGTCATGTTACCATACTTAACAACCTCTGATCATTTAAACTTAACTATAAGGTATACTCATTTTCTAGTATATCGACCAAGAGCAGTGAAATAATTACTTAAACTCGAAAAGAAGAGAATATTTTCAGCATTAAAATATACCATGAAAGTAAAGTACTCTCAACACCCTCAGTGTAACACCAGACGCAACACTAACAGCACACTCAGTGTAACACCAGACGCAACACTAACAACACACTCAGTGTAACACCAGACGCAACACTAACAACACACTCAGTGTAACACCAGACGCAACACTTACAACATACTCAGTGTAACATCAGACGCCACACTAACAACCCACTCAATGTAACACCACAGACCAAGCTTACAACACACTCAGTGTAACACTGGAAACACCGTCAGTGTAACACTGACAACATCGTCAGTGTAACACTGGCAACTCCGTCAGGGTAACACTGGCAACACCGTCAGGGTAACACTGGCAACACCGTCAGGGTAACACTGACAACTCCGTCAGGGTAACACTGGCAACACCGTCAGGGTAACACTGGCAACTCCGTCAGGGTAACACTGGCAACTCCGTCAGTGTAACACTGGCAACTCCGTCAGGGTAACACTGGCAACACCGTCAGGGTAACACTGGCAACACCGTCAGGGTAACACTGACAACACCGTCAGGGTAACACTGGCAACACCGTCAGGGTAACACTGACAACACCGTCAGGGTAACACTGACAACACCGTCAGGGTAACACTGGCAACACCGTCAGGGTAACACTGGCAACTCCGTCAGGGTAACACTGGCAACACCGTCAGGGTAACACTGGCAACACCGTCAGGGTAACACTGACAACACCGTCAGGGTAACACTGGCAACACCGTCAGGGTAACACTGACAACACCGTCAAGGTAACACTGGCAACACCGTCAGGGTAACACTGGCAACACCGTCAGGGTAACACTGACAACACCGTCAGGGTAACACTGGCAACACCGTCAGTGTAACACTGGCAACTCCGTCAGGGTAACACTGGCAACACCGTCAGGGTAACACTGGCAACACCGTCAGGGTAACACTGGCAACACCGTCAGGGTAACACTGGCAACACCGTCAGGGTAACACTGGACGCAACTGTGGCCTTAATAATACCAAAAAAATGGATTTAATTATAAATATATTATTACCGTTAATTTGCCTGTATATTAATACACAAAAATAAGTTTGATTGCGTCCTCAGACAAATATCAAAGTTTTACACTTAGATCAAGGGTAAATGTAAATGTTGATGGACTGTGTTAACATAAACACTATTTTCTATAACATATATTAATATTATTATATAATTTAACTTGTGTACAGTTATGGTCAGAATTTCAAGCGATTTTACTCTATAATCGCTCTAAATTTTGACCCCGAACTATACACGAAATAGTAAAATCGCTCTAAATTCAGAATTTACAGCGATTTGACTATTTCGCAACAGTTGGAGCCATGATGTATGATTACGATTAGTAACTGTCTTCAGCAGTGTCCAGGACGCCGCAGAGGAAACACACGCAGGGAACAATAGGGACAGAGCCCGCGTTACTAAGTTACTAAGGGTTAAATAACTGGGAAGGGAGGAGATACAATGATGATAACCTGGAATAAGCAGAGCGAGTGTGGCCGTGACCAGAGGAAGGTCATGACACCGGAGCGCGCCCTGCGACACCTCACTGTCTGCGTCCGTCGTCACGACCACGGGAGAGGGTGTCTTTCACTGATGAAAGATTATTATTTACATCTGTTTATTCATAAAGTTCAGTATGTAAGGTATACACGGAAAAAATCACATCAGACAGCGTGCAGCTTCGTCTAACAGTCTGGTTGACCAGACCACCAACCAGGAGGTCTGGTCAGAGACCAAGCCGCTGGGACGTTGATCCCCGGAAGCCACGCAAGGTAACCATTAGGAACTGTTCTCAAGGTCTACATGGTCTCCCCCGACTTGCTGCCTTCTTTTGATACATACTTTGTTCACAGGGTGGACTTGGAAGACAAGTTTCCAGCCATGTTTCTCAGAAAGGTCTCCCATTGTTCCTGTGTCTGTCACTCATTGTATCACCGCACATAAACAATAACATGGACGAAGGTTAACATATATAATTTATTATTCAATTGTTAAACTACTATTGATCGGATGACCAGCTTCACGGTTCTGTTAAAATGTATTGGAGATATTCGCAGAATTTTTTGACAATGGAATGTAAGTTGCAGCCACTAAAAAAATTTCAAATTTTGTCTCAGTTTTGCTAAATCAAAAAATAGTTGTACATCTGTTACATTTATTATGGTTTTAAAAAAACTTTTTCATAATTTTTATTTTTTTTTATTTTTGTAATATCAAAGAAGAAGTCATAGTAACTCCACGGTAGTTGGGAAAAGTGTAACTCTCACAGAAGCCAGGGAGTGTGGGGATCACAGAAGACAGGGAGTGTGGCGCTCACAGAAGACAGGGAGTGTGGCGCTCACAGAAGACAGGGAGTGTGGCGCTCACACAAGACAGGGAATGTGGGGCTCACAGAAGACAGAGTGTGGCGCTCACAGAAGACAGGGAGTGTGGCGCTCACAGAAGACAGGGAATGTGGGGCTCACAGAAGACCGGGAGTGTGGCGCTCATAGAAGACCGGGAGTGTGGCGCTCACAGAAGACAGGGAGTGTGGCGCTCACACAAGACAGGGAATGTGGGGCTCACAGAAGACCGGGAGTGTGGCGCTCATAGAAGACAGGGAGTGTGGTGCTCACAGAAGACAGGGAGTGCGGTGCTCACAGAAGACAGGGAGTGTGGCGCTCACAGAAGACAGGGAATGTGGCGCTCATAGAAGATAGAAAATGTGACGCTCACAGTAGGCGTTGATCATCCATAACGGCGCTCACAGATGATGGCCTTCTCGTGGTGGCAGGCGACGTCGTGCCATCTGATGCCGTCATTGTAGAAGTTGTTGAGCACTGCCAGACAGAACTCATTCCCGCCCTCAGCATTGTCTGGCTGGGGAAGCCCCTCGCTGTCGAAGAGAGGCAGATTAATGTGATAAACAGTCATTTATTTATGTATTCCGCATCCAAGTTTCTCTGACGATAACTTTAGGGCCGTCAACGTAAAATAGCATCAAAATCTCATGCGACATCAAATCCAAAAAATAAAATGAGACTCGACAAAATCCAACTTTTCCGTAGTATGAACCAATGAAGGAATACTAGTGTCAACAATTACTTCCAAAGCAATATAGATTAATAGCTACCTGACTTTGCAGATCGACATCGCCACAACTCGAAGACGAAGATCAACTAGAAACTGGCCTTATTCATTTGGTGGTATATTGCTGTTCCCGGACCAAGGATGGCTTCATGAAGCGCACAGGAATGAACACCACTGAGAACCTGTGATGACGCACATCCCTTTTCGACAGCCCATAACTTTCTTGATATGAAGAGCTCGTGAAATCAATAACTAGGAAGACACTCAATCTTGACTTAGAAGACAGACAGTGAAGTCAAGAAACTCCACTGATCAGACTTATCAGATCAGATGTATTCACAAGATAACGCCGGTAGTTCTTATCGTCGTTCACTACAACATAGATGGAAAGATCCTACCAGATCGCTAAATAGACTTGATTTCGACACTGGGTCATAAATGTAATGTAGCATCCAGCCAATGAGACATTGTTATATACACTTCACTCTAAACACTATCCTAAAAAAATATCAAAGCTCACTGGGACAGTCCCATAATGGAAAAAATAGCATCAACATTGCTAGGAAATACATGATGTAAGCAAAACCCGCTAGCGTTGAAAATTCCTTGTGCTGGGGAATGTTTATCCGGCGTCACAACCTCACCCTGAAAACTTGCCTTGCCCAATATGCTCATAGTATCAGTGAAGGTTTTCGTCTTCCGGAACTCTGTTCTCACCGACCACAGGTGTATCGGCAGACGACTCCACGGTCTGATATATCGTAAATCAATGGGAAAAGTTGCAAAGACATGAAGAAGTAACCGAGATCATCAAGATGATCCCCACCAC